AGATACCTTGGAGACATCTGCTGATCACAGGTACATAAATCCTGAAGTTTTAATGTCTTTTCAGTGAACCAGAACAAATCCTAAGACATAAAAGATGGCAGGGCAGGGTGGGGAGTTGGAATGGAGAGTGACATAAAGCTAGAATCCTCAGAGAGCTTCAGGGAAAACAACATGTAACTCTGATTTGAATCCAACACAGGGATAAAGACAGATCTGATAATACCTAGCCATAGATGATGCCCCCACACAGGTTAGTAGTATGCTGTCAAAAACAAATCTTCCTGGAAGAAGGTCCGCTGAACCAAAATTTTCAGGATTCCCATAAACAGAGACTAACCAAATTTAAACTCACGATATAAAATCACCAAACACAATAGCAACCAAGCTGTGATGAAAATTAGCACAAAAGAGAATTAGGGCACAGATATTATAATAATCCAAGACAGAATATGAAATGAACATGCTTAAAGTTTTAACAGAAATGATGTAATTATAAACTTGAGCAAGAAACAAATGTCTATTAAAATAACTTGGTATATTTGAAAAACAAAGCAAAACTTCTAAAAGCAAAATATATAGTTGAAATTGAAGACTTAAAGGATTGGTTAAACAGCAGATTAAACACACTAAAGAAAGAATTAATAGACTAGAAGATGATATGAAGAAATTAACCAGAATGCAATATAGGAGGAGAAATTAAAAATATGACAGAGAATTAAGAGACAGTGAAGAGAAGGTTCTCCTCTTACTATATCTAGAATCTCGGGAAAAGAATAAAATGAATAAGGAAAGGAAATACTTGTTGAATTAATGGTGAATGAATGAATCATAATTTCCCAGAGTTAATGGAAGTTATAAATCCTCAGTTTTAAGAAGCTAAATAAATCCCAGGAAAACTAGAAAAAAAAAATCCACAGCTACACATAGTGAGGCAATTTGCAAAACCCAATAAAAACTAAAAGCCAGGGATCTCAAATCCAGCCAGAGAGAAAAGGAAGTTTACTCATACACTAATGACAAATGACAGTAAGTTTCTCATCAAAAGCAATAATGCAAGACAAAAAAATATTCCAGTAATATCTCCCAGTTCTGAGAAGCATAAAGCTGTCAACCTATAATTGTGTACTTAGCTAAATGAGGGTGAAATAAAAACAATTCTGTCAATAAAAAACAAGGAGAGCTTTCTGCTAACAGACCTCTATAAAAGAAATTTCTAAAGGATATTTTTAAGGCTGAAGAAAATAATCCCAGAAGAAGTATGTGAGACACAAGAAGGAATGCTGTTCAAGTAAATTGGTAACATATGGACAAATGTAAGGAAACACTGACCGTATAGCGCAAGAGTCATGTCTAATTAAGAGAGTAACAATCAAAAGCATGAGGCAACTGATTTCTTCACGACAATACCCTGGACAAGGATGATCTGAATTAAAGTATTTAAGTACACTTGTGTGATTTGAGAGGCGGTGACAAATATGAATAATCTTTGTAGTTTAAGTTGTTTTTACATGTTAAAATGTTAACATCTAGTCATGACTAGAATACAGAACTTCTAATACAATGAGGAAAAAAAACCTAATCTTGAAACTCAGCCAATAGAGTGGAAGCAGCAGAAATGGGTAAAAGAGAAACATAGAAGAAACAGAATGAAAATAAAAACTATAAAATAACATAGCTGAAATAACATAGCTGATACAGACATAGTCACAGTAAAATTAAGACTAAATTCCTATGCTAAAACAATAATATTTCCAGATTCAGAAAGAAAATAATTATAATGCTTTTACAAGGGACTCATGTGAAACTTGAAGATATAGCAAAGATGAAAGATAATAAATGGACTGAGATAAACCAGGCAAATGCTTACCAAAAATAACTGATATAGACAAAATAGTACTTAAAGCAACAAACAATATTAAGGGTAAAGAGTGTAAGCTATTTATGTCAGCAGGAAGATATACTAATTATAATAAGTATGTACTGATCTATTATTTGTCCAGAAGATATATAAAGCAGATATTAACAGCACTACAAGGAGAAGTTGACAAATCTGTCGTTGTGAGAAGTTCACTTATCCTATCCTATCCTATCGTATCTCCTTACTAATTTTTGTCTGCTTGATCTATCAACTCCAACATTTATCAGAGGTTGATAGATCAAGCAGACAAAAATTAATAAGGATTAGGAACTTTGAAAAACATAATTAACAGGTTTGATCAAACAGATGTGAAGAGAGCCACAAAATATGATTAGATGATATGTCTTCTCAATTACACAGGCAATACTTATGATAATCAATCGTGTACTAGGCAATAATACCAATTTCAAATTTTAAAGGAATTGGTGTATTTTACTTCAGATTCTCTGACAACAATAAAATTAAGTTACAAACTAATAATAGAAGGTATCTAAGAATGACTTCATTTGATTGGCATTTTTTAAAATTTTTTTTTCCAAGTTTCTATTTGAATTCCATCTAGTTAACATACAGTGCAATATTAGTTTCGGGTGTAGAATTTAGTGATTCATCGCTTACACGCAACACCCAGTGCTCATCAGAAGTGCCCTCCTTAATCACCTGTTTAACCCATCCCCCTGCCCCTCCTCGCCTCTGGTAACCTTTAGTTCATTTTTTGTAGTTAAGAGTCTATTTCTTGGTTTTGCTTCTCCCTTTCTTTTCCCCCTTCTATGCTCATTTGTTTTGTCTTTTAAATGCCACAGGAGTGAAATCATGATATTTGTCTTTCTCTGGCTGACTTATTTTGCTTACCATTATACTCTCTAGCTCCATCCATGTTGTTGCAAATGGCAAGATTTCATTGTTATGGCTGAGTAATATTCCATTGTATATTTATATACCACATCTTCTTTATCCATTCATCAATCAGTGGACACTTGGGCTTCTTCCATAGTTTAGATATTGTAAATAATGCTGATGTAAACATTGGGGTGTATGTATCCCTTTGAATTAGTGTTCCTGTATTCTTTGGGTAAATACCCAATCGTGCAACTGCTGGAATATAAGGTAGTACTTATTTTTAATTTTTTGAGGAACCTCCATAGTGTTTTTCAGAGTAGCTACAGCTAAGCAAAATAAGTCAGAGAAAGACAAATAATATTTTCCCTCCAACAGTGCAGGAGGATTCCTTTTTCTTCACATCTTCACCAACACCTGTTGTTTCATGTGTTGTTGATTTTAGTCATTCTGATAGGTGTGAGGTGATGTCTCATTGTGGTTTTGATTTGCATTTCCATGATGATCAGTGATGATGAGCACTTTTCATGTGTCTTTTGGCCATCTGCATGTCTTTGGAGAAATGTCTGTTCATGTCTTCTGCCCATTTTAAATTGGATTATTTGTTTTCCGGGAGTATTGATTTTATAAGTTCTTGATCTATTTTGGACACTAACCTTTTATCAGATATATCATTTGCAAATATCTTCTCCCATTTCACAGGTTGCCTTTTAGATTTGTTGATTGTTTCCTTTGCTGTGTTGAGGCTTTTATTTTGATGTTGTCCCAATAGTTTATTTTTGCTTTTATCTTCCTTGCCTCAGGAGACATATCTATGAAGTTGCTATGGCTGATGTCAAAGAAATTATTGCCTATATTTTCTTAGAAGATTTTTAAGGTTTCAGGTCCCACGTTTAAGTCTTTAACCCATTTTGCATTTATTTTTGTGTATGGCATAAGAAAGTGGTTCAATTAGATTCTTTTGTATGGACCTGTCCAGGTTTCTCAACACCAGTTGTTAAAGACACTTTTTCCCATTGGATATTCTCCTGTGCTTTGTCGACGACTAATTGACCATATAATTGTGGGTTTATTTATGGATTTTCTACTCTTTTTTATTGACTTATGTGTCTATTTTTATGCCAGTACCATTTTGTTTTGATTACTGATGCTTTGTAATTAACTTGAAGCGTGGGACTGTGATGCCTCCAGCTTCGCTTTGCTCTTTTCAGGATTGTTTGGCTATTCACAGTCTTTTGTGTTTGCATACAAATTTTACGATTGTTCCTTCTGAGAAAAATGCTGTTGGTATTTTGATAGGGATTGTATAAAATGTGTAGATTGCTTTGGATTGCATGGACATTTTAATAATATTTGTTCTTCCAATCCATGAGAATGGAATGTCTTTCTATTTCTTTGTGTGGTCTTCAGTTTCTTTCAACAGTATTCAGAGCACAGGTCTTTTACCTTTTTGGTTAAGTACCCTATTATTTTTGGTATGATTGTAAATGGGATTGATTCCTTAATTTCTCTTTCTGCTGCTTCATTTTTTGGTGTATAGAAAAGCAACAGATTTCTGTACATTGATTTTGTATTCTGTGAATTTACTGAATTCACGTATCAGTTCTAGTAGATTTTTGGTGGAGTCTGGATTTTCTACTTACTGATTTGGATGCCTTTTATTTCTTTTTGTTGTCTATTTGCTGTAGCTACAACTTCCATTACTATAATGAATAACAGTGGTGAGAGTGGATGTCCTTGTCTTTTTCCTGACCTTAGGGGAAAAGCTTTAGGTTTTTCATACATGGCCTTTATTATGTTGAGCATGTTCCCTTTTAACCCACTTTGTTGAGGGTTTTCATCATGAATAGATATTGCACTTTGTCAAATGTTTTTTTCTGTGTTTATTGAAATAATCATATAGTTCTTATCCTTTCTTTTATGGATGTGATGTATCACATGGATTGATTTACAAATATTGAACCACCCTTGCAACCCAGGAATAAATCCCACTCGATTGTGGTGAATGATTTTTTTAATGTATTGTTATATTTGGTTCACTAGTATTTTGTTGAGAATTTTTGCATCCATGTTCATCAAGGATTTGGCCTATGGTTTTCTATTTTAGCAGCGTCTTTATCCAGTTTTGGTATCAGGGTAATGCTACCCTCATAGAATAAATTTGGAAGTTTTCTTTTCTATTCTTTGGAATACTTTGAAAAAAAAGGTATTAGTTCTTCTTAAATGTTTGATAGAATTCACCTGTGAAGCTGTCTGGTCCTGGATTTTTTCTTGTTGGGAGTTTTTTGATTACTGATTCAATTTCTTTGGTAGTTATCAGTCTGTTCAAATTTTTTATTTCTCCCTGTTTTAGTTTTAGTTTTAGTAGTTTATGTGTTTCTGGGAATTTATTTCTTCTAGGTTGTTCAATTTGTTGGCATATTGTTTTTCATAATATTTTCTTATGATTATATTTCTGTGTTGTTGATTGTTATTTCTCCTCTTTTATTTGTGATTTTATTTATTTGAGTCTTTTCTCTTTTTATCTTGATAAATCTGGCTAGAGGTTTGACAATTTTCTTGATTTTTTCAAAGAGCCAGCCCCTGGCTTCATTGATCTGTTTTGTTGGTTTTTTAGTTTCTATATCATTTATTTCTGCCCTAATCTTTATTATTTCCTTCCTTCTGCTGGTTTTTGGTTTTGTTTGTTTTTCTGGTTCCTTTAAAGTGTAAGGTTAGGTTGTTTATTTGAGATTTGTTTTTGCTTCTTGAAGTTAATTTGTATTGCTACCAATTGTCCTCTTAGAATAGCTCTTGCTGCATCCTAGAGGTTTTGGACCATTGTGTTTTCATTTTCATTTGTTTGCATGTACTTTTTTATTTCTTTACTTCTTGGTTGACCCATTCATTCTTTAGTAGCATGTTATTTAACTCCATGTATTTGTGGACTGTCCAGATTTGTTTTTAAGGTTGACCTCTAGTTCCATAGCATTGTGGTCAGAAAATATGCATGGTATGACTTCAATCTTCTTCAGTTTGTTGGCGTTTGTTTTGTGGGCTAATATGTGATTTGTTCTGGAGAATTTTCTGTAAGCACTTGAAAAGAATGAAAAGAATGTGTATTCTGCTGTTTTAGGATAAAATGTTCTGAATATATCTGATAAATCCATCTGGCCCAATGTGTCATTCAAAGTCATTTCCTTGTTGATTTTGTTTAGATGAACTGTCCATTGATGTCAGTGGGGTGCTAGAGTCCCCTACTATTATTGTATTATTATGGATTCATTCCTTTACATTTGTTATGATCTCTTTTATTTATTTTGGTGTTCCTGTTTGATACATAAATATTTACAATTATGATATCTTATTATTGGATTGTGCCCTTTATTATTATATAGTGTCCTTTGTCTTTTGTTAGAGGCTTTGTTCTAAAGTCTATTTTGTCTGAGGTAAGAAATGCTGCTCTGGCTTTCTTTCGATGTCTATTTGCATGGTAGAGGTTTCTCCATCCCTTCACTTTCAATCTGCACAGGTATCTTTAGATCTAAAATGAACCTCATCTTGTAGGCAGCATATAGATGGATCTTGTTTTTTTATCCATTCTGTTGCCCTAAGTGTTTTGATTAGAGCATTTAGTCTATTTACATTCCAAGTAATTATTGATAGATATGAATTTAGTGCCATTTTATTACTTGTTTTGTGGTTGTTTCTGAAGATTTTCTCTGATTCTTTCTTGTCTTTCAGTCTTTCGTGTTTTGCTGATTTTCTTTAGTGATATATTTTGATTTCTCTCTTTATTATTTTCATGTTTATCAGTGGTTTTTGATATATGGTTACCATTAGGATTGTATACAATATCTTACGCATATAGCGGTCTATGTTAAGTTGATGGTCATTCTCCTCTCCTCTTCACGCTTTAGGTATATGTTATTATATTTTATAGTCTTTTTTTTTTGGTGAATTCCCTGACTAATTGTTTGCAGAAAGATTATTTTTAGTCCTTTTGTGTTTCCTAACTTCATACAGTCACTTTTGGTCTCTGCTTTCCACACAGAGTCCCCTTTAATATTTCTTGCAGGGCTGGTTTAGTGATCACGAACTCCTTTAGTTTTTATTTGGGAAACTCTTTATCTCTCCTGTTCTGAATGATAGTCTTTCTGGATAGAATATTCTTGGCTGCAGATGTTTCTCATTCAACCCTTTGAATATATCATGTCACTGCCTTCTGATTTGGAAAGTTTCTGTTGAAAAATCTTCTCCTGCTAGGCTTATGGGTTTTCTCTTCTAAGTTACTGACTTCTTTTGTCTTGCTGCTTTTAAGATTTTTTCTTTACCATTATATTTTGAAAATTTAATTATAATATGTCTTGGTATTGGCCTGCTTTGGTTGATTTTGATGGGAGTTCTCTGTGCCTCCTGGATCTGGATATCTGTTTCCTTCCTCAGAGTAGGGAAGTTTTCAGCTACTATTTCTTCAAATAACTTTTCTGCCCCCTTTTCTCTCATGTTCTTCTTCTGGGACTCATATAATATGAATGCCCCTATATTTGGTGGAGTCTCTGAGTTCCCTAAGTCTATTTTTATTTTGTGTAATTCTTTTTTCTCTCTTTTGTTCAGCTTGACTATTTTCCATTACTCTGTCTTCTAGGTCATTAGTTCATTATTCTGTTTCTTCCCATTGTTCTATTTGTTCTGTTAAGTGTGTTCCTCATTTTGTTTATTCAGCCCCATATCTCTGCTATGTTATTACTTATCTCTGTGTTAAGGGTCTCCCTCATGTTTTTACTCTTTTCTCAAGTCCAGTGAGTATCCTCGTGATCATTTCTTTAAATTCTCTATCAGGTATGTTACTTAGATGTTTCGCTTAGATCACTGGCCTTATCTTTGTCCTATTCTTTCATTTGGATAAATTTCCCTGTCTTCTCATTTTGTCTGCCTGTTTGTCTATTTCCATGTGTTAGGAAAGTCAACTATATCTTCCTTCTGCTGTTAGCACAGGGCCCAATGCAGGGCTCCAACTCATGAACTGCGAGAGCATGACCCAAGCCAAAGTCAGATGCTTAACTGACTGAGCCACCCAGGCGCCCCAGATGACATTTAGTTTTAAACATGGGATGGGGTGAGCTTCGGGTCCTCCTACTCTATCATCTTCCCAAGCTCTTCCCATTTAATTGGCATTTACCAAATTGCCCAATTTAGAAATAACAGTGGAAAACAGAAAATAGCTAGAATTGGATGATGATAATAGCATATATCAAAATTTGTTAGATGTAGCTAAAATGCAATTTCAAATGAAACATATATTTCTAAATTCATATGCTAAACATCATTTTATATTTAATGAACTAATTGTAAAACTTAAGAGTTAGAAAAAAACAACAAAATTCCCTGAGAAGAATACAAAACATAATAAAGATAAAAGCAGAAATTAAGCAAATAAAAAACAGTCACTGGAGAGGATCAGCAAAGATAAAGGTTGCATCTTTTATAAAACCAGTAAAATTGTTGTGGCTGATCAAAAATAAAAGGGAGGGGCGCCTGGGTGACTCAGTCGGTTGGGCGACCGACTTCAGCTCAGGTCATGATCTCGCAGTCAGTGAGTTCGAGCCCTGCGTCGGGCTCTGTGCTGACAGCTCAGAGCCTGGAGCCTGTTTCAGATTCTGTGTCTCCCTCTCTCTCTGACCTTCCCCCATTCATGTTCTGTCTCTCTCTGTCTCAAAAATGAATAAACGTTAAAAAAAAAAAATAAGGGAAAAGTCTCACAAGGATAACATTAAGGATGAAAACAAGATATTCGCTGCAGACATAGAGAAGTTCATTGATTTAAACAACTTAGTAAAAATAAAGACATTTTTATTTTTTTTAAATTTTTTTTAACGTTTATTTATTTTTGAGACAGAGAGAGACAGAGCATGAACGGGGGAGGGTCAGAGAGAGAGGGAGACACAGAATCCGAAACAGGCTCCAGGCTCTGAGCTGTCAGCACAGAGCCCGACGCGGGGCTCGAACTCACGGACCACGAGATCATGACCTGAGCCGAAGTCGGCCGCTTAACCGACTGAGCCACCCAGGTGCCCCGAAAATATTTTTAAAGAAAACTATATCTGAACATTGACTCTAGAAATATTAGAAAACCTGAATTATCTTGGAACCACTAAAGTAATTGCATCAGAAGTTAAACACATACTCACCAAGAAAAATCAGGTCCAAATGTTTTTACAGAGAAGTTTTACTAAATAGTTTTACCAAACAGATAACTGAGTTCTTATAAAAACTATTTCAGAGAATAACAAAGTGAGGAAGTATTCCATACCTCATTTTTATAAGGTTGGCATAACTTTTGATAGTGATACTAGTCCTATGAAGAATCATTACAAGAAGCAACAGTACGAGAAGGGAAACTTGTAGACAAATCTCACTGGGGATTAGATGTAAGATGTAAAACAAAATATTAGTGACATAAATCTAGAATAAAACTGAAAATAAAACTTCTTTACCCTGATTAAGTATATATACCTTTCAGACATACACTGTGTTGTGTAGCATTAGAAATACTGTCTCTGGCATCATTAATGAGGTGAGCCATTATGCAGTCATATCACTGCATTTCTGAAATATTAAACTTAAGTACAGTTCATTAGGAAACAAAAAGGTAAGTGCCAAAAGCTTAGAGAGAAAGATAGATTGTAATGTTTGTGGATTGTTAAGTTGTTAATATAGAAAAACAAACAGAATCTACAGACATTTTAAAGTGAATTACATCAGGAGCCCCTGGGTGGCTCAGGCAGTTAAGCATCCGGCTTGGTCTCAGGTCATGATCTAGCAGTTTGCGGGTTCAAGCCCTGTGTCAGGCTCTGTGCTCACAGCTCAGAGCCTGGAGCCTGCTTCGGATTCTGTGTCTCCCTCTCTCTGTCCCTTCCCTGTTCATGCTCTGTCTCTCTCTGTATCTCAAAAATGAATGTTTAAAAAAATAAAAATAAAATTAAGTACACCAAAGATAAATCAACTTAAAAAGTTAACCACATTCTATATACCTAAAACAATTGAAAATATAATTTAAAAACATTCACATTAGCTATCACCTATACAAATACAATCACAATAACAACAAAATGAGGTACTTGGGGGAAAAAAAATCTACCAAAAGCTGTTCATGCCATTAATGGAGAAAATTAAAAACTTTACTGAAAAGCAAGAAAGAGCTAAATAAATGGTTAAGAAGATTCACATATAATATTTAATATCATAAAGATATCTGTTCTTTCCACATTATCACAATTGTAAGAAAAATTCCACAACAGTTTTGTGTAGACATATGGGAATGGTATATAAAAGTTGATTCAACATTAATATGTATATTAACATAAAGGGCCAACAGCAGCCAAGAAACTTTTAAGGAAGAATAAAGAGCAGATATTATGAGATATTAAGTTTATTTTAAAAAGTAAGACACTGTATTTTTGGAATGGAGATAGACTAATTAAAGACAATAGAGAGCCCAGCAAACTCACCTGTATGTGAAAACATAATGTATGATGGAGGAGACTGCAAAACAGGGAAAGAAAGGATTGACCATTAAATAAATGGTTTGGGGTAATTTTGAAGTCCTACAGTAAAAATTAAAGCAGATCCCTACCTCACATGATATACTCAAAAGCCAAATCTAGATGAACTAAATATGAAGCTAGAAAAAAAATTGTTGACTTTTATCTTTATGACCTCAAGGTAGAAAAATATGTTTTAAGCAAAACACAAAATGCACAGAACAAAACCAGAAATATTCATTGATGTTACATTGAAAAATATAAATTCATCGAAAGACACTTTCAAAAAGCAAAAGCTGAGCCAAAGTGTGGGAGACAATATCTTCAATAATACAAATGACAAACAATGAATACCTGTAATAGAGAATGGACTTTAAAATTTTAATCAGTGAGTAAAGAACAATAGCAAAGAACCCAGTTTAAAGGTAAGCACAAACTATGCTCCAATAATTCACAGCAAAGAAACATGAAACTACACTCAACCTTGATGAAGCAATGAAAACGTACACATTTTTAGTGGTTGTATTAGTTTCCTTGGGCTGCCATATTAAAATGCCACCAACTGGGTGGGTCGAATCAACAGAAACGTATTTTCTCACCATTCAGGATGCTAGACGCCTGAAATGTTAGTGTTGGCACAGCATAAACTCTCTGATGGGGAGACTTGTCTGTTTTTGATGATAGTCCTTGATGTTACTTGGCTTGTGGCAGCGTTAAGTCCAATTTCTGTCTCTTGTGTTCACATGGTGTTCTTCCCTGTTTGTGTGTCTTCATGGGGTTCTCCTCTCTTTGTGTTTTTGTCCAAATTTCCTTTAGTTTCTAAGAGTATCACTCTTTTGATTAGGGCCCACCCTCAGTGCACATGACCTCATTTTAACTTGACTACATTGCAAAGATGCTATTTCCAAAAAGCTCACAGTAACAGACACTGAATCCTTTATATCCTTTTGGGTAACACAAGTCAACCGGCAACAGTGATCATGCAATTTTATACGTTAGTATGATGTATACTAAAATTAGTCTAAATCTGCGAACATTGAGTTAGGGCGCATCCCAGTAATTTGACTTCTGGCTGCTTAGATCCTTGCTACCCTAAGTATGGTCTGTAAGTTAGCAAGATGAGTGTCACCTGGGAGCTTGGTAGACATGCAGAGTCTTGGGCCCCACCCCAGACTTATAGTGTCAAAATCTGTATTTAAGCAAGATCCGCAGGTGATTTGTTTGAAAAGTATTGATCTAGTTTACATTAGTTAAAAGAAGACATGCACATGAATGCTCATTGAACTATTGTTTATAAAAGCAAATATTTAGAGACGTCTTAAAGTCTCACTAAACAGAGAATGGATAAATAATTTGTGGTATTATTCATACAATTTAAGTCTATACAGTAATGAAAGTAAATGAGCTAGAGGTGCTTCTATCAACACAGATGAATTTCACAAAGATAATGTTAAGGCAAAAAAGAAAGTTGCAAAAGAATGTATAGAGAATGATATCATTTCTGTATGGCTTAGTGACACACACGGATGATATAAAAGTATGAAGTAATTTATAAGAACGACAAACACTTGAGAGCAAACAGGGGAATCAGCGAATCATAGTATCATACTATCTTACTATTCTTGTCCTTAAGTTTTTCTTAATCATACAAGTATTTAGTGTATTAATCTTTACAATACATTATTCTTACTTTTTGGTAAATCTTAAATAATGCATAATAAAGTGAGAAAATTTAAGGAAAAATTTAAGTCTAATGAATGGGAGAGTAGTGATTTGAATCCAAAACTGTGGCCCTGAGCCACTATTACCAACTAACATATCACTGCTTGAATAGACCAAGTGGCACAGTTATAGATTGGTATCTTATAATCAGAATTATATGGGGCGCGTGGGAAGTCGGTTGAACGTCCGACTTCCGCTCAGGTCATGCTCTCACAGTTCGTGAGTTCGAGCCCCGCGTCGGGGTCTGTGCTGACAGCTCGGAGCCTGGGCCTGCTTCAGATTCTGTGTCTCCCTCTCTCTCTGCCCCTCCCCTGCTCATGCTCTGTCTCTCCCTGTCTCAAAAATAAATAGACATTTAAAAAATTATAATCATAATTGTAGCTTTTATATAAGGGACATGTTTTAAAACAAGATTAAAATAATGCATCAAATATTGGATTTAGTTTTATGACAAAAATGTGACTTGCTAAAGCTAGTAAAAATGTAGGCATTTCCTTCCAACTACTGTTACATTAACACAGTAATTAAATTTTGTTTCAAATAATCATTAGACAGAATTTAATTTCCAACTATCCTTAGATTAACAGGAAATATTGAGCTAACACTCTAAACATGTTTCTCATCTCAACCATGTTCTTTTTTTTTTTATAATTGTTTTAATGTTCATTTATTTTTGAGAGAGAGAGAGAGCAAGTGGGAGATGGGCAGAGAGAGAGGGACACACAGAATCCCAAGCAGGCTCCAGGCTCTGAGCTGTGAGCACAGAGCCGGACGAGGAGCTCGAACTCACGAACCCTGAGATCATCACCTGAAATGAAGTCAGACACTTAACTGACTGAGCCACCCTAGTGCCCCTCAACTATGTTCTTATCCTTTCAGAAGTGAGTCCTGAAAATATTGTCAGTAAGAAAGCAGTGTAGACGGATTGAGCTCAGGAAAGTACATTTACTAACACCTGCCACTAACTTTCTTAATTACCCGTAAGCAAAAGTACTGGCTTTTTAAAAATCATACTTTTATACATTTTATTGGGATCTATTAATTTCAAGTATTTACGTTATGCTTTTAAACAAATGGTTAAGCTCCCAGAAAAAGGGAAGACTTCTGTTCAGTAGTGATTACTGAACTTTTGTTGACATGTTTTTTCCCCCTTCAATAACTTGTGATATAAGTCAAGAAGTTTTGGAATGCAGAGGTCAAATCTATCTTTATTCACTTGTCTTATACTCAGAATTTTCTAAAGAATTGCAAACTTACCAGATACTTTAAGCAATAGGAAGAATGTCACATCCATGTGCAAATTGTTTTCACAATAAATTCTCACCTGACCGAGCTCTTGCTTTTTCACGAAGCCTATGTAATTCTCTTTCTTCACACTGCTCAGCAGTTATCAGTAGAGAGAGAATATTATTACTTTGCATCCCTGTTACTTACTCTGATTGTTTAAGCTGTTGGGTATTTATTGAGACCATTTAGTCTTCACGAGTGAATGATAACATTGATTTTACTACTGAGGAAACAAGAAGGTCAGTCAACTTTCCCAAGGTCCCACAACTAGGGAATATATGTTACATTATTTTCACTCTCCATATGTTGTGGTTTTAGCATGCGTATTCAATAAACCAGGTCAATCTTAATGGTTCCAGGAGCACAGACTGAGGCTCCACTGTTTGTGTTTTTGTACTGAAAATCAAGTGCAGTTCTGGGCCTCTAAGAAGTGCCCGACATGTAGACATAGCACTGAAGGAATGATACCACCAGGGGCGTGGTGGGGGGGGGTGGGGATGGTGAGGCTTGACACACAGAAAAAGTATACTCAGTTTTACAGGAGCATTTTTTCTCTTGCATTTTGGTTACATTTTTTTTTTTTTTATACATGCCCAGTTAATTCTTACTGATACTCAGAAGACCACATTTCCTAAATTATTTAAGCAAACATTTCTCTTTGAAGTTTGTTTTTTTTTTTTTTTTCTCACTAGTGAATTCCAGTAAATCCATAGTTCTGGAAGAACTACAATTGCCCTATTGCTTTACTATTTGATGACTAAATTCAGAAAGGTATTTTTATATTAAAAAAATGATCTATCTTAGTTTCCACTTGAAAAAAACTAAAAACTTTGTTTAATAGCTTTTAGAAATCACTTTTGCAATCTCCTAAGTACATTTTCAACTCTTGACTATGTAAAATATTTTCTTATTAATAGAAAATTCAGAAATAATTTGGGGATTGTTGATAAACTCATCAATTACCGAGAAACCTCAACCATTACTAAACCTTCAGTAATGATAGGACATTCAGAGTTTATAGCAAATATCTTTTTAAAATATATTATCAGCTTAATACCTTTTTATCTTATGTCCCTGGTCAAAGAACGACATTAAAATGCAGGGCCTGTATCAAATTTCCTGTGAAAATGTTAAAAATCTTTATCTCTCATGAACTATTTTAGAGAAATTTCACATGATGGATGATGTATCATACTCCAGATCCATAACTGACAAGTTGCGTCTAGCAAATTCAAAGAAGAAATAAAAGCCGAATGACTGCAAGGTTTTCGTTTTTGTGTTTGTTTTTCAAATGACGTCCTCAATAACATCCATTTTAAGGCTAGATTTTCTTTAGGCTAAATTCCGAGGCCTTGATGAACAAGAGCCTAACTATCCAGTTCTTTGGTTTGCACCATTTTCTCCTGGCATATCTGGGATTCTGTGTCTTTAAGGGTTAAACACAGAAGAATAGGCAAAGCATGAACATGAAGAAATGCAATGTCATTGTGCTTTTAATATATATCACAGTGTTATCAGTTCAATAAAGGGTTGTATAGTTAACTATTAGCCACATGAAGGTTGATCCCATAATCAGTGCTATATATCCTTTTCGCATTTTTATTTTCTTCGTAGTGTTCAGAAGAGTGCCTAAAAATCTTGTTATAAATGTTAAGAAATGAAATGTTTGATATCATGTACACTATTCCTATGGAAAACATGAAGTACTTGCGATTTTTTTCAACTTATAAAAATGCTGCATCATTGAATATTATAGCAGAATAACAAATGCCAGAGCTCATGAATATTATTAATTCCAGATTGAAATCATTTTAGCTTTCCTGAAAAGGAAAAAACAAAATTTTCACTTATTAAACCATTTAGGATCCAATAGATGAATGCATATTGCTGGCTGACATATTTATTGACATACATTTGTATGCACTAAATTTGACACATTCCTATTCAAGGATGTCTTTGATATGCATACATTTACTTTTTAAATTTTAAATTTCTTGTATTTTACTCTTTATTTATGTTATCAACTCTATTTCCAAAATTTCATCTTTGAAGAATCCAGATTTTAATTATTTTCCTTTTATAATTTTTGGATCCACAAATATACTTTAATAAAGCTATTTAGTTCTGTTTTTGTGAGGATATTTTAAAAGGGAATGAACACCTTCACAAATCTTAAAAAAGACATCTTCAGAGTCTGTAGCCAGTATTGCTGTGTATACTTATCTCTTTCTTTTTGATGCCATGAATCATTATAAATGTCAGGTTCATTATTGTGGCATGCTGAAATGATTGAGTGGGAACTGTGCCCAGCATCACATTGTAAAACAATCCATCCCCAAACACATTGCCCTGGACTGTATGCATCAGCCAAATTAGATTTTCTTTGACGCTTTGGTGATTGCTCTTTTGTTTGGTCATGGAGAATTCAAAGCCATAAAATTCAAGAGTTCAAATTTGAACACAATATTAATATTATTGCTATCTGTGGTGAATCTGTGCATGTTAACTAGAGTCATACCTGTCATATCTGCTTGTAGGATTGGATTCTGCACTTTCCCTTCGCTCCAGTCCTGCAATCAGAATGTACAAGTGAATTTTGTTGTGCTATGTTTTTTTCTAGATTAGGAATCCCATTCTTTACTTATGTTCAAATGGGATTAAATTTGCCTTTCTTGGTAAAAGAAGCATCTTAGAAGCAACCCATGGTAGTGGATTCATTTTCTATGTTGTCAACCCCATTTGCAAAATCTGATACTCCCCCCCTCCCCCCACCCTTGGTGAACATGTCCAAACGTACGAGCTCCAAAGTGCAGCCTTTGTTAGCACAAAACCAACACAGGTGAAGATGTTTACATAGGTCTATTAATACCCAGTTCCTGGATAGAATCTACGAATTGCTGATGCTGTGAGCTTTCAAAAAGAGCTGGAAAATAGAATAGGCTTGATATACAAGATTAAGAGCAAAATAGGGCAATAAAAGAAATTTTTGAAGAAAATAGAAGATATACAAAATTCAATATTACTTTTTTTTTTAATAACCGTATTTTTCTTTCTTGAAGTTATGGGATTGCCACAATACTTGCTTAATTTCTGCAAGTCAAAGGTTTCTAGATGGCGCTCCAAAGCATTTGCCGGAAGGTGGCGACATAAGCCCTTGTTGCCTAGAGCTGTCCCAAGTGCTGAAGACCATTTCGGCGCTTAAGAGAAACTGCGGGCCAGCGACCAGGGGTTCCACCAAGTTCTCCCTAGAGGTTTGCAGGCTGTGATAAAAGAAGCAAAAGGCTGTATAAAACGCCCAACGTTATTTACAGAACAGTGGCGAAAGATTCCCTTCTCTAAATTTACTCGCCACGAAGCTATGAAACATGGTAATGTTTATTGACATTAAAAAAGCAATGGTGATGGATAGGCGTATTTGTGTGTGTGTGTGTGTGTGTGTGTGTGTGTGTGTAATACATACCGAATTGAGTTTTTTCTTCACTTTGACATGCTGCTATTTATCTGTCCGGTGACGCGCCCTTTAGAATCCCTCTCCCCGCTAATTCCCCAAGGTTAAAAATAAATAAATAAAGCTACAGGAAACATCCTCCCCAAGGGAGTCGGGCTGAACTGTCAGATAATGAACAGGATGGCTTCTTTCATAAGCTAAAACACACTTCGTCTTCTTTCCATCAATTAACAATAATTTACAGACTAATGCAAGGGCTGTCTACCTACCCATTCAGGTTCCCTGTGGCTCCATTTCTCATTTCCTATTGTCACTCTGTGCTGCTAACTCTTCTTAACAATTTGACAGAAATATGAAGCAACGGATAGTTAGGATTGTTTTTAGTTAGGATTGTGAGAGGCGGAGTTATATGTTGTAATATCGGTGTGACCAGCGGAGGATCCGGTGAAAGTGGATTCTGAATCTCTGCCGACAAAAAGGGGCTAGAAGGAAAAGACGCTTAGCTAGAGGGAGAGGAGGGCGGGGACCCAGAGGAAAGAGACACTCAGGGTTGGGGAAGTGTTAGGAGGGGAGGGTTAGCGTAGGAGGGAGGGCCACCGTCGTAGCCTCGGAGCGACACAGAGGGATAAAGAAAGGGGAGTGAGAAGGAAGAGGGAGACTGAACGAGGGCTGAGAAGGGAGAGGGAGAACGGGGAGAGAAGGCTTAAGAGAAAGAGAGGAGACAGGAGGAGAGAGTGGCAAAGAGGAAGGGAGAGACGGAGGAAGAGATCACAGAGTGACCGCAGAGGACGAGGTTTCTCTATTCCAGATACTTCTAAGACCGAAGATTGTTTGCTAGTGGGGAGACTCCAGCTCCGGCAGCCAGTTGAGCAGCGGCAGAGTAAAATGGACAGTGAGAAACAGACGTTCCAGCCACCTCTCGGCCGCTCAGAGGTCCCGGAGCTGTTCTCTGGCGAACTCCTTTCCCCGCTGGAGTCTCGGAGCCTGCTGGACCAACGGAGCCCACGGAGCTCCTAGAAGCTGCTCCTCGGAGATGCCCTCGCCCGAGCAGTAAGAACTTCCTGCTTGAGTCCCGGCGTTTCCTCCACCTGGAACTCCCCCGGGGGGGGGGGGGGGGGGGGGGGGGTAGAAGACCCCAGGGGGAGGGGCGAGGGGGATCCTAAGGCAGCTCTTTCTCCCCTCCCCCTCCCCCCGCTGGGCGCGCAGGCATGGATGTGCTCAGCCCTGGACCTGGCAACAACACCACCTTGTCCGAGGGTCCCTTCGGGACACGCGGCAACGCTACTGTCATCTCCGACGTGACCTTCGGCTACCAAGTGATCACCTCTCTGCTGCTGGGCACGCTCATTTTCTGCGCGGTGCTGGGCAATGCTTGCGTGGTGGCCGCGATCGCCCTGGAGCGCTCCCTGCAGAATGTGGCCAACTATCTCATCGGCTCGCTGGCTGTCACCGATCTCATGGTGTCGGTGCTGGTGCTGCCCATGGCTGCGTTGTACCAGGTGCTCAACAAATGGACACTGGGACAGGTCACCTGTGACCTATTCATTGCCCTCGACGTGCTGTGCTGCACCTCGTCCATCCTGCACCTGTGTGCCATTGCGCTGGACAGGTACTGGGCCATCACGGACCCCATCGACTACGTGAACAAGAGGACGCCCCGGCGCGCCGCTGCGCTCATCTCCCTCACTTGGCTCATTGGCTTCCTTATCTCCATCCCGCCCATGCTGGGCTGGCGCACCCCCGAAGACCGCTCGGACCCCGACGCGTGCACGATTAGCAAGGACCATGGCTACACTATCTATTCCACCTTTGGAGCCTTCTACATCCCTTTGCTGCTAATGTTGGTTCTCTACGGGCGCATTTTCCGAGCTGCGCGCTTCCGCATCCGCAAAACAGTCAAGAAGGTGGAGAAGAAGGGAGCGGACACCCGCTTTGGTGTGTCGCCAGCCCGGCAGCCCAAGAAGAGCGTAAATGGCGAGCCAGGGAGCAGAGAATGGAGGCAGGGCGTGAACAAGGCAGGGGGGGCTCCGTGCACCAATGGCGCGGTGAGGCAGGGTGACGACGGCGCCGCCCTGGAGGTGATTGAAGTGCACCGGGTGGGCAACTCCAAAGAGCACCTGCCGCTGCCCAGCGAGGCCAGTAGTATCCCTTGCGCCCCCGCCTCCTTCGAGAAGAAGAATGAGCGCAACGCCGAAGCCAAGCGCAAGATGGCCCTGGCCAGAGAAAGGAAAACGGTGAAGACGCTGGGCATCATCATGGGCACATTCATCCTCTGCTGGCTGCCCTTCTTCATCGTTGCCCTGGTCCTGCCCTTCTGCGAGAGCAGCTGCCACATGCCCACGCTTCTGGGCGCCATAATCAACTGGCTGGGCTACTCCAATTCTCTGCTCAACCCGGTCATTTACGCCTACTTCAACAAAGACTTCCAAAACGCGTTTAAGAAGATCATCAAGTGCAAGTTCTGCCGCCGAAGATGATGGACGAGTCGTCCACAAGTAGGCCCGCCCCATCCTCTCTGCCTCCTCCAGCCCTCTGGAATCAACACCTCTGATAGCCTGCTACTTTTCCCGACTTTCTCAGCTGCTGGGTCCGCCGCTTCCAGACCTCCTCCCTCCTCCCCCCCTCCCTAATCCCCCGTCCCCTAATCCCCTGTCCCCTAATCCCTTGATCGGAGGGTGTGCGCTTTGGGCAAAGAGGCCCCCAAAGGTGGGGCTGGAGGGCCTGGGAAACTACCTGGGTCTGTGAGTAGCGACCTTGGCTCACACTTTGGCCTCGGAATCAGTGTTGATCCTTGTAGTTGCCTCCTCCCTCTTCGGCACTCCACATCTTCGCGGCGGAAGTTTGAGCCTCAGCGGTTCAAGGCAAAAAAATCTACGCAGAAAAATAAACTGTATACCCAGCCGCCGCGCCCACTAACGGCTCCCACCTAATCGCCCCACTGTTAGAACTTGAATTTAAGGTTCAGAAGTTTGCTTCATTACCTAGACCCAACCCTGGCCCGCACTCCTACCCTAGAAACTCACTTTTTTTTTTTTTCCAGTTTCATCCCTTCTTTCGAGCTTCCCTTTGCGCCCTCGCCAGTCCCTATGCATTGGTTTGCTAGTAGGGAAAGGCTGGAGGTTCTGTTTTCCCAGTGCCTGTGATGTCCCTGGGAATCCCCGCTTCCCTGTGTAGACTCGCTGAATAACTCTTTTGCGCACAGCCCCATGCTCTGTTTTCTTGGATTCCAAACAAGTGGCCAGAAGCAGTGGACTTGTAAGTACAAGCAAGGCTGGGCCAGTGGGGGAGAGCGAGGCGGGAGTGAGGAACGATTGTATCCGTGCTTGCCTTCGTGTCAGCACTCACCAAAGAAACTGACAACCAGTGGGATGGGAGAACGGACTTCTGTTTGTACAGGCTGGTGGCGAGTCTGCACGTTCTGGCATCGCCACTTACCCACCCCGGCCATGCCCGCCAGCCAAGGTGTGCGTGCTGGGGACCCCCAGAGGCCTAAAGGTTCGCGCGCCTACCCAGCCAGCTGCTGTCTGCTTTGCACTTAGCGCGCGCGCGCGCGCGCGCGGAGATGTAACCCAAACCAGAGCCATCCCTCCGCCTGCGCCGCGGAACGCGCAGAAGCGCGAATAAACAACACGGTTTGAGAAAGCACGGGGAGCTAGGTCAGGCGGGAGGGGAGAGACCAGGGGAGGCAAAGAGGTGTTGGTGTCCGGCGCGCAGGCCGTCCTGCAGATGACGCTCCCCGTGGAACCTGAGAGGGCAGTTGCATCTACAGAACGCAGACTCTTTCCGCCTAATTCACCCCCTGTCCTGTTGGATAGTATAGTTCTGTTTAGCGCGTCCTAACGTTACATGGGATTTGTTCTGCAAGACGTCTGGGACACGTAGCTACTAGGACTTTGCTTTCCAAATAGGAATTCCGGGCTTCCAATCGAATGGGTCCCGATAGGTTTAGTACTGCCTGGAACCTCACAGGCGGTTACTTTAAATAATGGGACCCCAAAGACTAGTTAACTAGTTAGGGGTGCTCTCCCTTCGGAGTCCCCGAGAATCTTGTACAGGGTTATATTCGCTCCTTGGCCTGATGTGAGCCACAGGTCCAGGACAAACCGGTTTCTTGCCATTTGACTATGTGGAGCACTCCAAGCCTTCTCCCCCCAAAAGTTACTCTTTTGGCCTTGCCATTCCTGCTGAGAAACTAGTTACAATCTTTACTGCCCCCAGAAGGGAAGTTATTTTGGTGCTCCGTTTGAATGTAAATTTCCATCCACGGGACTGGGATCAAGAGGTTTGTTAGTGAGATGTAGCCTCTAATTTTCTGATGAATACCGGTTGTGTTTTACCGTAACTGCACAAAGTTACTGGTTTTTTCTGCCGTCTCCCTTCAACTCTACCTTTTGAATGATTGCGTCTGCTGTTTTGAGAACAGTGTTGGAAAAGTTGCCAATGGAAACTTCACTTGTGTTCATAATATTAAGAAGGTGAAAAGACAGTTCTATCACTGAAGCCATTTTATTGTTTGTCCGCTGAACAAAGCCTCCATTTGGTATCTTTTTCTCGTACCGAAACTGAGAGTAAGTATCATATCCCGTTAAAACAGAGAAAGTTTAAGAACTCTGGACACTCAGTGGATGGTTTGTTGATGCATAGGTAATGCTGATAAGGGGCTAAGGTGGAGCAAATAAGGTAGATATCTTAAGTCCAAAAATTATTCACCTGAAAATTCAATTTTTTTTTGCTCACAATAATTTCAGTACAGCTGTATGAAAAAAATGCACTTTCTGTATGTCTTCCTTAATTTTTTGAACAAATTATATATACATATAAAATAATTCAAGCTCAAAATTTGCTTACCCAAATTATGCCTTGGCCAGCAAGTATTACATTCGAAGGGCTGAGTCCTCCATTTACTTGTGTCATTTACAGCACTGTATGCCAATGGTTTCTGGACATTTATTCTTCCTGCTTTGGAGGAATTACGTGAAAGTGGGGGAGGAGCATCCAATTGGAGTACAATTGCCAAGGCAATAGAGAAATTTGGGGAATAAGTGCATAGCAGTAAACAGCCCCTGATGCTTCTTATTTCTTTTAGTATTTGTATTAAGATAAAGTATATATGCATCAAAATTGGCCTTCACTCTTCTCTGTGACAATAAAAGACTTTATTAATGGTAATGCTACAATAAACTGATATCAATAATACATGCATCTTTATTTTAATCAGAATTACTGTCTACTTGTATTTATTTGTATTATTTAAAAATCGAAGTTAAAAAATACACTTGTCAGGAGAAGATTCTGCTATATAAATCAGGGTTATGACACTTAGGGCAATAAATTCAGTTTTTAGTGCTGAAACTCAGTCTAAAGGAGTGATTTCTTTAAAAAAACACACACACAAAAATCCTATCTCTGAAAAGAGGAGGTCATATATCATCATTTAGCCACAAAACCATGAATTTTCCCTGACTGACACCTACAGTTAGGACTTAGACATTTGTCTAAGTAATATCGACAGGGCAGGAGACATGAAGCAGAGAAATGCAGTCTCTGTAAAATCAACGAGGCCCCATCCTGTCTTTTTATTATTTTTTAAAAAATTTTTTTAACGTTTATTTATTTTTGAAACAGAGACAGAGCATGAACGGGGGAGGGTCAGAGAGAGAGAGGGAGACACAGAATCTGAAACAGGCTCCAGGCTCTGAGCTGTCAGCACAGAGCCGGACGCGGGGCTCGAACTCACAGACCGCGAGATCATGACCTGAGCCGAAGTCGGCCACTTAACCGACTGAGCCACCCAGGGGCCCCCATCCTGTCTTTTTAAAGCAGTGGACAGTCTGACACCCCTCCTCTGTCTTCCCCACCACCTCCTGCTACAGGAAAATGGCTTCACCTGGTTTCAAATAAAGTAACTCATTGTTCTGGGGTTTGTCCAGCAGTTAAAAGTGGAGAGGCATTTTCCTTTCTGGCTGGGTCTCAGCTGATAGTGGGGTTCTATATATAAGATCTATTACGATGTCAAATTATTTTTATGCTCTGTTTGCCCCTATTGAAATCATCAGGAATGCCTCTTATTTCCCAGGTTTTGGTTGTCAATTCCACCGCTTTCTGGTGTCAGAATGATGGCTGCAGGGCAAGGTGAACCCAGGTACACTGTAAGGGGAAAACACAGGTCAGGGATATTTTGGCCACAGAAGAGAGCACCTTTGAAGCTTCACGAACCCTTGTTCAGGCAACACGTGTATCTAAATATTCTCCCAATAATGAAACGTAAAGACAGAGGAATTGAGAGAAGAAAAACTGTCTGGAAGTTCTCATATGAAAGCTATTACATAAATGTGTCCCTGACCTTGAGGAAATTGATGCATTTGGAACCTTTGTCTTTTAGAGTCTGGCTATCTCCCTTTTTTGGCCCTTTGTTCTCTGCTCTAGCATCTATTCCTCCAAGGAGACTATGGCTTTCCATTTTCTACACGCCTCCCTGAGTCTCTATCATCACTCAAATGGAGAAAGAAAATTGTTATCATTCACTTCCAGCATGACTAGCAAGCCCGGATAACAAATTAGCAGCCGCCACGTGTAAGGCTCCATTAAATAATGTTGAAACATGGGCCTACAAATTAAAGTAAGATGCTTTTGTCACCTTGAAGGAGTTTCACCCTCCTTGGGTCTGTAACAACAAGCTACTAAGGCTAAGTAAACATTAGTGGTAGAATATTAGTATCGTCTAAACAGGACAAGTCACAAGAGTTTGGCTCTAAGAATTCAGGGGACAGAGATCACCGTGAGCTGGGTGTGGGTAAGAACGATTCGGCAGGGAAGGCTGTGTAAAGCCTCCAGGATTGAGCTGTGGGCACACGGCTGTGGGTGGTATGAAAAGGCAGACATTCTTTAGGAGATGCCAAAGACAACCTGATCCCTTCTTCTTGTTAAGTGGGGGCCTGGGATAAAATTTGTGAGGGGAGTGCTGGATGCTGGTGGCCTGGGTTGACTGAGGTGGAGAGCCTAGAGAAAGATGCAGAATCGTGGCTTAACAATAGATTGGTCAGCGTTAGTTACAAGACAGAAGAATTCATGCTTCTGTAATGTGTAAGTAAGTTTTTGCCAAGTAATTTTCACTCAATATACTGTTTAAATTTAGGTGGCAGATCCTTTTGGAAATACCCGTTAGACCACTTTAGCCAATGCAGAGGGTTCATACTGGGTAAGTATAGAAGAAAGTGCTAGAGGGGTGCCTGGGCAGCTCAGTAGGTTAAGACTCCAAGCCTTGATTTTGGCTCAGGTCTCGTGATCTCATAGTTTGTGGGATCCAGCCCCACATGGGGGCTCTGTGCTGACAGCCCAGACACTGCATGGGATTCTCTCTCTCCCTCTCCCTCTGCACCCCCCACCACATGTGCGCGTGCACGCGCATGCTCTCCCTCTCAAAATAAACAAATAAATAAGTAAACTTTTTTTTTAAAAAAGGAAAGTGCTAGCGATCATAGGTGGAATTATTATATTTCCAGAGTAAAAAGCTAGAACTATAGTTTAAGTCACTGTAGACCACTAAGAATGAAGGCCGAAGTTCTGTTTGGAGCTCATTGCAATGACACAGGTGTGAAACAATAAAGACCTGAATGGGGGATGTTAGCAGAAGGGATGGGAAACAAGTTAGACTCTGAAAAGTACATCAAAGGAAGAACAGGCAGGACTTGGTATCTGGGTGTGAGGGGAGAGGGAGGTGAAGATGCTACTGAGGCTTTGTGCCAAGAAAATGTGGGCAAATGACAGAAAAGGGGAAGTTGAGAGTTACTTCTCCTCTGGGTCTTTGGGTTTTTTTGTTTGTTTGTTTGTTTTGTTTTTTTGTTTTTTTTTTTTTAGCTTTATCTGTAAATATAAAAGGGCTTTGTTTCCTGCTAAGAGAATTCCCAGCCCAGATGGCAGGGGCCTGCTGGGAAAGGTATTGATACATGTCACAGCATTTGAACACTTTGTCATTTGGGAGACTATGTGAGTAATGCCACCTTAGAGAATGCTTAGATGAATACCCTGATTGTTGATGCACCTTTTTTAACTTTCAGTAGAATTTGTTTGGAGAGGCCACAATTCCAAGGTGCTGCAGCAGCCTTTCAAGAGGGGCAACTGAAACGCATCATCCTGGGCAGTGTGTTAAGGACACACGAAGCCCAGAAGATTGAGTCTGTCCAGTTGACCAATGGACAGCAGAGCAATACAGTTTACTCTTTAAATCCGGTTATCAAGAACTATAGCAGACCCATTTGATCCCTAAACAGATATTCCTGGAAAATCTGGATCCAGGAGGCTAAAGTATGCAATGGGTTGTTTCTATTTCCCAGCTCACTTTGCTATGTGGCAATGGCAGGGATGAGGAAATGAGTTGGGTCCCAAGACACTTCATAACTGATCAGTTATTTCTGTAACACTTATCTATAATACTGCACAATGGTCCAGCTTTCAGAAAGTTCCCCGAGCCAAGTTTCAAGGAGATGTCTTGTATTAGCAAGTGGTTGTTCTCTTGTGTCTCAACTGGATTTAGGTTTGAAGAAAGAGAAAGAAACAGGCTGGTTGGAATAAGGGACGGAGAAAGAAAGGAGTAGACAACAAGACTCACCTATCTTACAGGTTATATAGCTGTGGAGATGGAGGAGAAAGTTTCTAAACTTTTCTAAGGTCCTTGGATGAGAAGCATTTTCTGAAATATGGTATGCTTCACCGTCTATGGAAGCAAGTAGTCTAACTTGCAAGAACTAACTAAGAGAGAAAAAAAATGGTGAAAGCTCATTTTAACTTCAAAAGAACAGTAGAGTAGAACTCCAATTGCAACTATTCACAATCAATGTAGTTTCTCAAAAGCATATACTGCATTGCAAGGATTTGTAACGGAGAAGAGGCAGTCTATGGGACAACCTCTGGTTTAGACAGAGTGGGCATGTGATTCATTCATTCTTTCAACTAATATTTCTGGAATATCTGTGACCCAGGCACTGTTCTAGGTGCTTTGGATATAGCAGTGAACAAATCAGAGGAAGTCTCTGTGGCAGAGTTTTTTCTAAGAATGCCACAGTTAGTGCCCTCCGTGTGTCCACCTTTTTGCAATGTGAGTTTTAGCTTCACCCAGAAAGACATGGAGGCTTTCTCACTGCTTGAATATGGGTTGGCCTTGTGATTTACTTTGACCAATAAACATGGCAGAATTGATGTAACCATGCAATTCACGAGGCTTTGCACGCTTCTACATGGTACCTCAGAATCCTGCCCAACCACCATGGGTACAAGCCTGTGCTCGTTTGCTGGAGACCAAGAGATCACCTGGAGCAGAGAAGACTCATCCTAGCTAAGGTTATCACAGATGAGCCAGATCTCAGTTGACTCAGAGGCTGACTGCAGATGCAAGAGCGAGCCCAGCTCACACCAGAGAAACCTCCCACCTTCATTTATCACCAAATTGTCAAAGCACAGACTTGTGAACAAAATAGATGGTTGTTATTTTAAGGCACTGAATTTTGAAGGGAATTTGTCAGGCGGAAAAGGCTAACTGATACAGTCTCATGCCTTAAAGAGTTTACATTCCAAAGAAGGAAAGAGAAAATCAACATTAAAACCACGAATATATGTTATATATCGGATGGTGATTAGTATTATGGGAAAAAATTAACTAGAGTATGATATATAGCAAGTGGTGAGATGTAGGGGAAGAGTGTTGTTATTTTTTACAGGATGTTCAAGGAAGGGCTTACTGATAAGGTAACGTTTCAATGGGCACCTTGAAAGAGTTATCAGAGGCATGAGGTTCAGACTTGTTGAAACTAAGCCCTTGAACAAATAAATCTTAAATCTTATATGATTTACTATGAAAAGTCTAAAGGACCTATTTCCAACAGGAAATACCAGGAAATTGAAGATTTCGGGATTTGTGTGCTCAAATTCTAGAATTTTCTTAGTTGCTGACAGCAGATTCATTTATGTTGAAAGTGTTAGTATTTAGCCTGTTAGGGGCTAGGTCATGGGAAGCCCTGAACGGGGCCTCACTGTGTCTCATATAGTTCTATAATCCGCAAAGTCTAGCGTACATTCTGCATAGTGTATATCTTTGGCCGGTCACGTCACCTGAGTTTAACTTCTTGCTGTGCCACTACTGACATCTTGCTATGTTATATAGTTTTATTTTGGAAACAGGTCTATAGAGATCTGTTTCACATTCTTTACATTAGCCCATTAGAGTATACGCTTTGAAAGTTTATAGTACCTTCACAGAGTTGGGCAGCCATCATTGCAATCCATTTTAGAGAATTTTTATTATCCCTCAAAATAATAATAATAGTGCTATATCCGTTAACAATTGCTCTTTATTTCCC